GCTCCCTTTATTACGTTACCTTATAACGTTCCCCAACAACTATGAGGCCCCCCACAGCCTCGCCTCCTTCCCCTGCGTGGGACGAGGGGCGTCGCGGTGAAGATAAGAGGACACAGTCAGCAGCAGACAGACAAACAAAGTAGGTCACACACTCAGCAGACAGGCAGAGGTCACCCATACCTTATGGGATGTACAACTGGCTGAGGAAACACACACACACACTTGCCATCCGGAGACAAGACAAATTATTTACCAGCACAATGCTAGACGATAGATGCAACTCTTCAAGCAGTAACTTGCAAGCAAAGATCAGAAACAACAAAGCGCGGACAAATAACATGGCTTAAAATGTGACGTTCTAGAAATGGCCAAGCTGGAAAAAGAACGAAAACATTACAACCAGAGGAAAAACTTTGAAATAATTTGAAAATTATGCAGCTGCCAAATCTGAAGCCTAGTCGCGGATATATTATTATGCCCGTTTCCAGACCTCTTTGCCACGGAAAGGTGTGTCTTGAACTGACCCAGGACACGGAGGGTGACCCAGGACACGGAGGTGACCCCAGGACACGGAGGTGACCCCAGGACACAGAGGTGACCCAGGACACGGAGGTGACCCAGGACACGGAGGGTGACCCAGGACACAGAGGTGACCCCAGGACACGGAGGTGACCCAGGACACGGAGGGTGACCCAGGACACGGAGGGTGACCCAGGACACAGAGGTGACCCCAGGACACGGAGGTGACCCCAGGACACGGAGGTGACCCAGGACACGGAGGTGACCCAGGACACGGAGGGTGACCCAGGACACGGAGGTCCTGGCAAGTCTCTTCCATCAAAAGTTGTTTGATCAAGACTGAGGTCACTGCTTGACATATCACTTGGGAGGGACGATGGGGTCCAGGGTGATGAATACATCATCAAGTATAGCGAGTGATTAGCGTCTAAGATGATCTATATACCGCAGAGAATATCTTCTAAGTCTCAGTGACAGACTGAGGGTCAAACTGTTGGCTCATCTAAACTGTTAAAGATAATTGTTGCAGATTTTAATGGAATATCATTATTTCTAACGTTTTGGCTAGGCTACCTGCCTGCCATTTAGTGCTTTAATGATTCAAGATCACTTAACTTGTTGGAAAATAATGTTAATTCCTACTGACGGCAGTGGCTACTGACGGCAGAGGCTACTGACGGCAGTGGCTACTGGGGGTAAAGCCTACTAACGGTAGTGACTGCTGAAGGAAGTGCCTGTTGACGGAAGTGTCTATTGATTACAGGAATAATACATCAATTATTTTTGGCTCGTGTGAACAATTCAAATGAAAACCCATTATCCAAGTCTGTGGTCTAAATATTGTATTACAACTCTTACAATTATAATT